GGAGCTAGGGGAAGTTGTGTGCTTGCTGGGACTGCCGGCACCCACCGCAGGCAGCAACACTGTGTTGCTAATTGATGAGCCCTGGGCCCCCTGCAGTCTCCGAGTGTTCCCGGGTCACAGAACTGGAGCTGATCATGAATATGCTAAGTTTAAAAAAGATGGATATGGTGCTGCACAGCTTTAAATCTCCGGAATGATCCCATGGTAACACTATGTCTGAGCTTCTTCTTATGTATTCAGATACAACAATTAAAATAACGTGAGATTAAAAAAAGAAAGTCATAATCATGAAGTTTGGGAACACCCCATGTTTGCGCTGTGTTTGCCAATGTGTGTGGAGGGGCTCGGACGGTGTGACCAACAAGTGAGTTATTCACACAAATTCAAAATAAGCAAGGAGGCATTTACAGTCCAGTCCAGTCATAAAGCAATTTGTAGAGACAAAGCATCGTCTCTGTTTTCTGGTGAGGGGGGCTCTGACTAGTGTACAGAGCAGTCACTAGGAATAGGCTGTTCATTACCTGGTATGGAGCTTGTTTTCCATGATACACATAAAATAAGAGTTAAAAACCACATTGGTTTGTACTGGCCAAGGTGGGACTTGTCACTTGCCTTGGGCATACGTGTGTTCAGTACCCTGCTGGTTGCATAGGTGAGATCCAACCTTCCTCCCAAGAGACCTGAAAAAGCCCTAGTGCTGTATTCGGCTTGTTGTCGTTCTTTGGGGCCCTTCGCCTGTTCATCTAGCGTGTTGGGGTGAAGGTCTCTCAGATTACTAGTCCAACATAAATCTGATTGTAAAGTCCTAGGTGGTATTGGTTTACAGGTATGGAAAAATGTGTGTGGGGGGGCTGTGAGTGAGAGAAATAAAATTCAAAACACACAATACAGCTGTGAGATAAAGAGGGCTAGTGTCCTCTATGCCATTGGTGGGTTTTGCTATTTACTGCTCCAGAAAGGGCAGTAGTGGTAGCTTACCACGTTTCCTTAGCATTTCCCAATGTAACTCCACATATTCTGCCTCTCTCTCGTCTGCAATTCTCACTGCAATAACTCAGCTGGCTGTTTTCCCTCACTGAGTGCTGATTTCCCCTGAGGCACATGCTGACCACTTCCCCTTCGCTGTGGTTGGGTTTTTTTTTAGCAGGCAAAGAATTTTTAAAAAATTCACTGTCATCTCTAAATGCAAAATTAGGAAAGTCGTGGTTGTTTGAATAATTTCTCTCATCCTTCCAGACTGAAAGGTAGAGGAATTGCCGAACTTGGAAGCTGGCAGAGGAACAACTGTAAGAACAGAGACTATTGGTTAAGGTTGGGTAACCAACACAAAGTATGAGCATGGAAGCTCTCTAGTTCTTCTCCTCACTTTGCTGCTGAAATGCCTGATCATTTTAAACCTCCTGTCTCCTCAGAGCTTCCCAACCACTCTCCTCCACCACTGAGAAACTGCCACATCAGTCAGAAGAACAAGAATGAATCCTCCTTATGTTTCTGACCCCAAAATATCTTTACATTTCTTCCAACAATAGGCTTTCGGTGAGGATTCTCTGTACTTATCAGCTTCTGATTCCATGAAGGTAACCCTATAGAGTCCATCACACCTTCCCTGCTGTGTGAGGTCAATATTTGTGTGCTCTTCACTTTCTGCCATGTTAGGCAAAGCCTTCACCTTCTCCCAGAAGAATGAGGGCAGCAAGTATCCCAGTGCAGCCTCATGGGCTAACTAAGAGTGCCTGGGGTCAGGAGTGGGGTGGGTGGGCAGTGTGTGGTGACGAGCAGAGTGAAGGAGCACCTCTGGGCCCTCAGGGCTCAGATGGGTCTTACAGTCCATCTAAGACCCTGCTAGCATTGTGGGTGGCACTGTGTGGGTGTTTCTGCAGTGCGGGATGATGTACGTGCTGTATTTGTGTGGAGGAGCTTGGGGTGGGTTGTAGGCATGTTGACTACGGAAGGTGGCAACTCCAAAGTGTCCCAGTGGTGGCTGGAAAATGTCTCAGCAGCCTCTAGGTTTATGGGGAGGTGCCTATTACCTGTGCTGAGAAAGGGTGGCTGTTAACAGTCACTAAATTCCCACAATTTTACCTTTCCAGAGAGGGAAAAGCAGCTTGCATTGCCAGCATAGCTTCTTGTGACTTCCTATGAATCAGATACATATGTAAGGACATGTCAGCTTGTGTTTTAATGAGTATACAAGAAAAGGCAGGGACTGGGACATCACAAAATTTAAGAAAAAACAAGTCAAGGAGGATCTTTTGTGTTTGTCTTTAACACACATCTTCTCCAAGTATCTCAGAGACTTCACCCGCGTGTGCTGAAGCAGGTGAGAGCTTGGATTTTCTGAGACTAGCAGAGTCCACAAAAAGCTCCGCTGACGGAGCAACTGGCTGCACTGACCTTTCTCTGAAGTACTTGATGGCTTCCTGGTCTAGGAAGTTCTGTTCTTCTCGAAAGCCCTGCTCAAAGATTTTGCGCTTGTGTCTGAACTCAATGACAGTCTTAGTGTAAGAGTTCAAGGTAGTGACGGAGGCCGCCATGCAGCAGGTGAAAGAGCCCCATGCCAGACTGTGGAGAGAGAAACCAGCAGACAGAGCTGGGTTAAGACAGCAGCTCATGGTATATTTCTGACGCCAAGAGACACACGTACACAGGATGCGACTAGGCAGGTAAGTCCATGGTGACCAACCAGTTCTGCTCATCTTACCTCCAACGACCTGTGGCACGTGCTCAGGCGTGCGGGCAGGACGCTGGGCTAGGGGCTGGGCACAGCTTTCATCCCATGGAGAACTGTGCAGCAGAGCGCTAATGTGAACGCTCTGTGCACTCTGACAGAGAGTTGGACACCTCCTGATTTCCCTTTGAAACGTTTCAGAGCCTTGCAGGCAAGTGCTAAATTCTACAGAGCAGTAATGAACTCCTGGAAGGAGTCATGCCCTGGAGAGCACATCTTTCAGACCGGTTGAAGTTCTCCAGCATCCATGGGAGACTGACTCTGCACAATGCTGCTACAGGGATCATTTCTTTTATGCTTTCATCAGACTACTGTATTTCCTTCTTTCCGGGTTCATGGACATTTCTAGCATTCCTGTCTTATATCTGGTCTCTGAAAGCCTGACCAGAATAGAAGACAGCACTTCCATTTTGCAGAGGGATCCCATCTGAGGGCCGTGCCCCATGTGTGCAGGCTGTGCGAGCCAGGCTTGGCCAGCTGGAGCCAGGACACCTGCAAGGACCCAGCACACCTGCAAGGACCCAGCAGGAGCATGGGGAAACAGAGGGAGAAGAAAAGTGGAAGTAAAAAAGTGACTGCCACCATGCCAGGCTGGAACAGCAGCAAGTGTTGTCCTGGGTCTCCTGGCAAGGAGAGTTCAGCTGGGAGCTGCTCTGCTCCCTGTCCGTGCACTGGGTTTCCCTCCTGGGTGTCTTCTGCCCTCCCTGCAAGTCTCTGCTCCAACCTTTACCTCACGGATTTCAAGCTCCAATGTGGCTGGGGGAACTCATGGCCCCAAGGAGTTTAGATGCTTTTTGAGCATGAAATGGGGCTACAAAAAAGGCGCTGGCTTCCTCCTTTTGTCTGCAGGGCTGCTCTGCATCCAGGCTCCCCTTGACTTCACATTCAGCCCATCAGCTCCAGCTACGTACACTTCACAGTGGCTTCCTAACTAACTTGGGTTATTTTAATCATCTGTGTCAGCTACACATTCTACCTACTCCTTGGTTTCACCTTTTCTGTAACCAAATTGAACATTGATATAAATTATGCAGAACAGAGAGAATACAGTCACAGTAGCGTTATCTTATAAACACGCATTATCAACAGAGCCCGCAGCATGAGCTGTGTTCCCATTCTGCAAAGGAGCTGCAGACAGGGAAACATTTCAAATTAGGCAAAACTTGAAAAAGAAAGCATATTCATGAAGAGAAAAATCTGGAAAAAAAATGGTTCAAGTAAACAGAAATGGCTCATTTCAATGATTTCAAAATTCAGTGCATAGCAAGTCCTTTAGGGACTCCCATGGCAATGAAGTGTGCGGAGGCAGCCCTTTCCTAGTCATTTTTGAACCTGTTTGCCAAATGCAGTCAAACGAGAAGGGAGCGTAGTGAACCCTGGGGTGCTGAAGTTCCCTTAGGTTCCCCATGGTTGAGCGGAGAAGTGGAAAGGAAACTCGTGCTACGTGTAAGTGGCCAGGCACAGGGAAGCCTGGCAAGTGTCTTCCTCCTACACGGAGCGTGTGGAAAAGCTCCAACAGCTCCAAACATTTCCAACTGGGCTCCTAAACAATATCGAGGAAGAAGGCAGCTGAAACCACATGCTTCACTGTGCCTGGTTGGTACCTTGGGAATGACATATGGAGAAAAATTTCTCTTGAAAGTTTCTCATAATTTCTAATCATTAACTCAGCAATGCCGAAAGGTTCAGAGAAGGAAATACAGAATGAAGACTCAGTGACCTCAGGTCTGGCATTTGGTAAATGAGACAATTATCATTGATATGTTTTAGTATTTATGGACCTTGGTTAAATATTATTTAAGTGTAAAGAGTGGTTCTCCTACCTGTAAGAGTTTCATCCTACCTCAGGTGAAGACCTCTTTAACAGCAGTGCCCCTGCATGCCAGCTGTGCCCCAGATGTGGTGGGACTGTACCTACAGAGCCTCCGGTAGCAGAGCTCAGGGCTGTGCTCTCAAGTTCCCCCGTGGCTCCAGCAGCTTGGGTTTCTGTACTGGTTTTCTATCTAGAGGGGCCAAGCTTGAACATCCACTGATCCCCAGAGCCACTGAAAGCCCCTTCCCAGAGAACCCCCTGGCCCACTGCTGGCTTGTGCCAGAGCACAGACTAACCTCTGGGCTTTGCCAATGGCTTGGGAATGGGGTAAGAGAACAGGGACCAAGCAGTGTGTTTTCAACCCTGGGACATCTGAGTGCCCTTCCTCATTTTGAGGAGAGGTGTTTTTATCATTCCCTTTCAATAGAGGGGAAACAGAGGCACAGAAACACCAGTTTTCCCATTGTCCCTTGGGAAAAGAATTGATACACAAAATAAGCTGTATTGTAAATATAATGTGATTTATATTTCGTAACATGTCACTGAAATGTTAGTGACTCCTCCCATGAAACACAGGATAGTGAGGGGAGAAGGAAAGACTAATGATTCCCTGCAGCGCTGTGCATAAGAAGTATTTGTATTTATTTACTGGTGCTAGCAAAGTTTGTTGTCTCTGCTTTGAGATGGAATGAAAATAATATGCTATATTTAGAAGTGAAAAAGAGAAAGCATTTTCCCTAACCATCCAGAGAGGCTGATGCCTCTAGAGGGATATGAATGTTGTTTGCAGGTATTTCTATTCTGCAGTCTCCTATTCATATTACACTTCTTATAAACTTGCAAGCAATACAAAAGAGTTGACATATCTTGGCCAAATTATTTTTATGTGAATTTTAGCAGATAAATGGGAAAGGTAAAAAAAAATTTAAAAAATCAGTCTCCAAAATGTCATGTCCATTTTCCCAAGCCTTCTCCCCATGATCCACAGGAAAGGATCCTGGTGTCAGGAGCACTGTGCCTTCCTCTTCAGTTGTGTTAAAAGTTGCCCTGTAACGTTCAGCTGAGACACAAAAAAAAAAAAAAAAAAAAAGCTAAAAGTCTCTGAAATGCCATAGCAATTATGTACCTAAATTGAACTTTAATGAGAGTGCTCAATCTGTGGTGGTAATTGTGGCTGCTGTTTATTTACAAATGCTGTGTACCTGCTGACGTGCACAGCTGCTGCTGCGGCACAGCCACTGGGAGCTGTCCTCTGACACCTCGACCACCGCACGGCCATGGTGGCTTTGTGCTCCTAGCCTTTTGGCAACTGGGAATTCACATGCATGTTCCTGGAAATTTGAGATGATATGTACAGTCTCCCAGCAGACTTATGCAACAACTCAAAAATGAAAAGACATTAACTGGTGGTGACACTTACCAGAAGGACCATCCGTAGTCCCACGAATGCGGTCGCCAGTCCTCTGGCCCAAGGCTCACTGTCACCTGGAAAACTTGAGTATACATCATGTGTGCCACCATCCCCAAGAGACCTGAGAAGCAGAGATTATAATAGGCATTTTTTGTGCTAATGTTTTTTATAATTCTTGAGATAGCTACTGCTGGAAGTGCTTTGAAAGCTCCAAAAAAAGTCTTTGTTGTACTTCTATGCCTCCTATTCTGCTGTGGAGGAGGGAGCTGCATGGGCAGAGGAGAGGTGACTGAGAGCTCATTACTGCACATCACACTGAATTCTCAATTAAGAGAAGAGTTAAAGAAAGAAAATCGTTCAAGAAAATGTTGCACAGTGAGCATCGCCGCCAACCTTGCCGCTGCCAAACAGGGGTACGCCACCCACCAGCTATCTCAGCCCGCCGCAGCCGGGCCTCAGGTAAGAGAATAAGGAGGGAGGCTTCTGCAGGCAATACAAGATTGAACGCGTTAACGCCAAACAACCGTATTTTATCTGGATAGTTGCTAAGATGTATGCATTTGAACACTTACAGAGCACTTGGAAGTTGCACAATTAAATTAACTCCGTGTTCCTGATGATGTGTGGCGAGAGGATTCCATAGGAATGCTTTTGAGGGTACAATGTTGATGATGCTTTTGCGACATGATTATATTTTGCTGAGATAACTACAGCTGGGTATATTAGACACACTACTCACCGTGTGCTAAAGAACGAGTTACAGTTAGATCAATAAGTTTGCTCTGCCACTTAGCTGGCCAGCATGGTTCTTCAGCTTGAGCAGAAAAAACTGCCTGAATTTTCACATCTAGGCATCCCTCTGAGGAAAAGCAAACCCCACTTTTCAAGAAGCGGTGGCTAGTAGCAGCTCTGATGCTTGGAGAGTTTTCTAGCCACAGTCATTTGGGATGTGTCTGCTTTAGCACCTAGCCAGTGCAGAATGATGCTCCCAGGTGAGCTCACGGAAAGCACGGGTTTGGGCAGGTAGCTAAAGAGTGGGGCAGGATCATTGTTTCCCAAACAGACCTTGGACCTACAGATGTCAGAAGTCCCTCGTGCTGCAATGGCAGTTCAAGGCACTTTGAAATGCTGTTGTTCTGCCACTGTACAACGTTGGCCCATATGTTACACTTTGCTCCGTAACCAAAGCCGCCTTTACTGTTTGCTCTGTTGCCCTTCTTCCATATGGAAGATCCTGATTTCCCTTCTCCCCACATCCAAATTTTCTCTCTTCTTTCCTGCTTCCTCTCAGAGCCTAAAGAGCTTCATTAGTCTCACCAGACACGTGGATGAATCAGGGCAGTTCTGGGGGAGGGAAGTCAGGGAATGTCATGGTTGTGTTGTGGGTATGTTAAGCAGGACCTTCAGCGAGACAAATGTCCTATTTGATACCAACAACTGCAGAGGCTGAAAGCAGACGTTTTATTACAAGGAGCTGTGATGATTTGCTCAGCTGCTTCATGTCGGTGTGACACACTGGGAAGTTAGGAGGTGGAGACAGCAATTCACATCAGGAGAAATGATATTTCGGCAGGGTGGGAGGCCTACTGGGAGCTCAGCAAAATGGTGCACACCTTGCTTGTTTCTGGCTATGTTTAATTTCCAGAATTCACTGGGAGCTTGCTGTACTTTTTAATCAGTGGATTTTCTCCAGCTGACAGTTACAGCATTAATCTTAAAGTTTGGGATTTGCTGTTCCTGTGCCTACTGTCAATAGTTTTTAAACCTTAATAAAACATTACAGACTGCCCCGAGACATGTCAGAGTCACTCAGAGCCATCAGTAGGCTTGACACAGCCAGGACCAGCTTCAGCAAGGCTGTTCTGCTCTGTTCTGTCATGCAAAATCTTAATGGGTTTCAGCAATGTTCAGAGCTTTCGCTGCGTGGGTGGCCAGGATGCCAGTCCACTGGTACAGGTGAGTAGGAGGTCACCAGCCAGTCCTGCTGTCACACAGCGAGAACGTGGCATTTATTGCTTTATCTGGGTCAGGGGCGGACATGTACCTGGCCGTGCTGTCAATGGCATTACGCCATGTATGAGCTACAGCAGAACAGTACGAGTCTGTCTTTCGTTGTACTGCTTCGTGCGCTCTTGGTTTGTTCCCGATGCCACCCATCGGTTTGGTCTGTTTCAGCTCTCCTTTGCCAAGCGCTCCGTGGGGATGTCCTGTGACATTCTACATTGTGCATTTAACGGGCGCATTAGATAAAAGGACCTGCCTGTGACATAAATCAACAATTTATGTATTTACCAGGTCATCTTTTCCTCCAGCTGGCTACCTAAGGCTCCACAAAGAGGACAAAATCCCTGTGTGCCCACCCACCTGGGGTCCAGGGCAACAGAGGTTTGCGGGTGGAAAACTCTGATGGGATGGTGAACTGGAGCAACTGGAGTGGGTGGGAGTGCAGAAATGTGGACCAGTTATAGTTGGCTTGAGATCTGGGCCTTGCAGGATCAGAGCTGTTTCTAAGAGAGCTTAAGGAACTAAATTTGGAAAAGACAATATATTTTAAAGATACCCTTACTAAAAATATTATTTATGGAATATATCACATTCATTAAAATGCTTTATTGTAAGTATTACAGGAGAGATGTATATAAGTTGTTTAATTTGTGTAAGGTTAAGAGTAATACCAAAATGTTGGTGTTGGGGGTGTTTTTTAAATGATTTATAAGAAGTTAAGAAACAGCCCCACTGTCAGGATAATTTTTCCTAAGCTGGAGATGTTGAGCTAGGAGACTATGAAGATCCCATGGCACTTTTAGGAGGGAATTCTAGCACGAATTTAGGTAGAGGTCTGTTGCTCCAAGGCAAAGCCCCCTTGGTTATCTGATTTCTATAAAGCTGTGCCATTATAAATATGCTAACACTGAACAAATATGCTTTTCTTCTTTCCTCTGAGATCTTAGTCACTGGAAAAACCCCAGGTAGCAGTGTTTTGGGGTGGGGTTTTTTTGCTGCTTCCTTTCTATCCCTTTTCTCTGTAAAATGTTAAAGATTATATTTGGAACATCATGGCAATGTACTTATAAAGAGGGAAGGACAAATAAAAATAGAAAGATGTGTAGGAAAGAGAACTTCATAATCCTTACAAAACTTAAAACTGCAGTTTAAAGGTAAAGAGAAACAGCCCAGAAATAATTGTTTGAATGCTGAAGAATTCCACATAGTTTGATTTTGAAAATTGAAGACTTTTTAAAAAAAACCCAAATTACATCAAAAGCTGAAAAATATACTTTGGAAGTTTTTGCCAGGTTTTTTTGTCCTTTCAGCTGCACTTCTGATCTAAGTTTTATTCCACTAACTGTATTCCACAATTTGAAGCTATCCTTGAAAATAGAAACTCCTTCACAGAAACGTACACTGCATGTTATAATCTCTTTCAGCTTGAAATACTGCAGAATAAAATGCACTTTCATTACAGAAGTTCTTTCTACCAGAGAGGTCCATGCAGGAGTGCTCACAAAAGCCAGCTGTGGCTGGTTGCTTGTATAGATTTTGGGAAGTGGAGTTTCCAGCCAGCACAGAAGTGAAGGGACACAATTACATGGTTAGATTTGATAATGTCTTTTAGAGAAGTGAATTCCTCAAGTTCATTTGCTGAAGGTCTTCAAGTACAGACCAAGCATGAAAATAGCAAGAAACGGTTGTTCTGAGAGATGTACATGTCCCCAGGTTTCTCTTGGGATTACTCCTAGGTGAGATGACTGGAAGCCTTTTCATTCTCAGTTTTGCTACTGAACAAGATGGGCTTCTTTCTTCGGTTTGAAACATCAATCTTTCACCTACTTTTAGGGTTAACACAAAAAAGAGAATTTTCAACACTATATGTTTTTCATTTTCTACTGGCTAATCAGTGTGATGATGCTGAAAATGGAGGCTCAGGCTATGGGTATGGTAACGGCTGTGTGGGCCGGGGGGAGGCTAATTACTGCATTGCCGTTCTGAAATGAGGAATATGTGTTTTCACTTCTCCCTGGCAAGAGGCAAATTTATCATGTGGTCCTTGTTCCAAAGGAACAAAAAATTGAAGTGAAAAATGCGATAGGTAAATGGGGTTAAAAGAGTCATGTAGCCCCCAGTTTTCTTCTTTCAAAGTTTTAGAATTTTGTTTT